CTCCTGTAGGCTCTGGACATTTGGGACTCACTGTCGTCCGACGCCTTCTTAATGCGGAACAACTCTTCCTCCAACTTCTTCACCCTTTCCTTAGCGGACTGTGGGATGACATTCACTTCATCCAACTTTCGCAACCAATCCTCGTATCTCTTATTCCTCTCCTCTTCCTGTTTCTTGTCTTTCATCAGTTCCTCAGCTTTACTGATACTTTTGAAAACATAATTACATTTTCATTACATTTTGAACACCAAAACAATTTATGTCTATTTTCACAATCAATTGATAAGCGATTTAAGTGTTGAACACTTTTGCAAAAACATATTCTCAAATAATTATATAACTATTAAAATAAATAAACAATTTATTTATTGCAATATAATTATGTTTTGTATATAATTATGAAAGATATTGTAAAACATTTTTTCCTAATCAAACATATGCTACGAAAAATTGTGGTTTCAATGCAAAAACAAAGCGTTTTCTCAATTACAGTAAATTTCAAGTTTTATTATTATTTATAAGATATTAATATAAATAATAATAATCATAAAGTTTTCTTCGTATAGTTTTATCGATTTCTGAATCTCACGCAAAAAACTCATACAAACAATTGAATTGAGAGATAAATGTGTTATAAATACTATTGTTTCGTAAATTTAATTAAAAGTTACTTTTCTATGAGATTAGCATTTAATTCACGGATGAACTCATGATTACATTAAAGGTATTTCTCGTTTCGTTTTAAAATTCATATACAAATAAATTAATGATTTTTGAAACGAGAAATTCTTGGGAAATTCAAACCCCAATAAATTCTATGGGAAATTGTTTGCAATTTTACATTTGTATTCATTTATTTCACAAAGTTTTCTGTTGTATTTGTTTTCTCTTCATTAACTATTTGTAATCTAATTCATATCGATTATTATGTATTTAAAATATAAGTTAATTAATTTATATAAATCACATGTTTTGACCATAAAAACTATTTTCTGTTAATATTGATTAAAATCGTGTTTGAATCGGATTTAAATCATATTAATTTCTTACGAAAAAAAATACTTTTAAAATTTATTTTTTATGACAATTAAATAAAATTCAAAATTCCAATGAATAAACTATAATAAATGTATTGATATTATACAGTATTTTGATACAAAATAACAGTAACACAGGTTTTACAGCATACAATCAAAAGGCCAGCAATTGTTTCAATTATATGAATACCTTATTTGGTATATTTCTAACAGAAGTCATCAAAAGCTAATTATTTTATAACAAAACGATTTTTCCCAACAAAATGTTTAATGAAGGCCAACAACAATCACAATAAAGCATACAATTAACAAATACTAAATATCTTTTCCATGAATACTAAATAACTAACAATTAAAATCATTTATAATAAATAATAAACAATAGCCCTATCGATAGCACTCACCGATAACTGTCCGCTTCGGAAATCCTATACCGATCTCTGGCTGAAATGGCTGTGCCCTCCATATCGTCCCTCTCATAGCGAGCCCTAAGTGAGGCCACCGTAGGCTTCATGAATCCAAAGGGCGGAGGGGTTGGCATTGCGAAGTGATAGGGCATCGCTGTACTGCCCCGACGGACCACCGATGACTGCGCTATTGGGGCTCCGGTCAGTCGATCGCGCACCGGGTCTGACGTACTCCGACGGCCCTCCACACGAGGCCTCCGGGCGGTGGCGCCTCCGCTGCCTTTCATTAGCATAGGTTTTGGCACATCTTTGCCGTAATTAGCCTTCTCTGGGCTCTTATCGGTGTTTTTATTGTCTTTGACATCAATCCTAGTCGGAGGCAAATCTATCACTTCATACTCGGCTGGCCTTTCGATTCCACCTGTAATTCAGTGAAAAAAAATTTTTTTCAAATGTTTAGGTTTTATATATTATTTGCTTTTTATCGCTTGAATTTTAGTTATTTTTTTCAATGAAATTTTTTTGGTTTAATTTTTCTGCTATTCATTATTTATTTATGACTTCCTTTTGAATTGTTTTCTATAGAAATGTATGAAATATATCATAAATAAAACTTAATTCACTCCTAATGTTACGAGTTTTGCAAACAAAATGTGTGCATAATTTGGGTTAAATTACTCTCTTCACGGTTTAGTCCTTTTTTCTTCTTTTGCTAACAATTAAGTGTTTTTAAATATTTTTAAAATTAATTAAAATGATTTTTGTTCACTAAAAGTCATAATAAATTCGTTTGAATCAAAATAATTATAACTCAAAATCACATCTCAAAAACGCAAACCATTCATAAAATTATTTTCTGATTAAATACTTGAGTTTAGTTAACATAATGTATACAAAAATCTCAATATTTAATGTATTTCTTACTTAAAT